GTAGGTACGTAGTCGTATGTGTGCATTTTTAATGTAGTTGAAAACTAATTTAGTTATACATATAGGCTAGCTAAAATATTCTGAAATTCATTTGAAAAAGTTGTAGTTTTAAATTATTGAATGATGGCAGTTACGCTGTATCTGAGGGAGCCTTTTCTAAAGATCACTAAAACTATTTGTTGAGTTACACAAAATACCTATCTATATTCCCGTTAGCCTTTTGTCTCTTCTCACTGTAGCCTTAAATTAATAAAAAAATGAACCTAACTAACCCTACCTCTTTGTCACCTAGATTTTCGTTCAGATTTTCTGACAGTGTTTTGTATTCTTGTAAGATTTCCCTTCCGGACTCCTCTGATTCGTTTTAACTTAGTTAAATTCATGTCCAACGTCGCCAATCACTAATTAAACATAATATTTTGAAAAACGATCATTTTTATTATAATGTTTCCATAGAAAAAATATTTTGATTACATATAGGGAGACCGAGGAGAGTTGTGACATTGTCGATTTTTTGGAAGTTATTAACTACTAGCGAACTGGTAACAATAAGCTTTTTTAGTTCAAGTCTCGAGTTAACAAGTACTCATGTTTCGAGCTCACTGATAGTTAATAGGTTTCCAAAAATCGACAATATCACAACACTCCTCTGCTCTGTTACAACTCTCCTCGCGTTCTCCCCTAAACACAATATTATGCAAATCCATCAAATTGAACAATATTCCCATAAAAAATGTATTTAGATTACATAATGTAAACTACTGGTTATTATCACAGAATAACGTACTTCGTATTATCCACTCTATTGCTAAGCACATCACAATAGTTTGCCCGGACTATCAAGTATTCAAAGCATTATGTGTGCTGGACAAGACGGCCCGCTCGGGCGCAGGTGCGTAGGCGACACGTGGTTAATAGGCCGCCTGCAACCCCTACTATGGGTTAGGGGTTTAAGTAAATTGCGATTTCTCTGTCCCTCTGTCTGATCGATATTAAATCTAAGATGTTGAGTATTTAGGAACTCCTTCTATATTCGTTGCTGGTTATATGACATCTTCTTCACTAGTGCTGGATTTTAATTCTCAATACTCAATACGTTCATTGGATCATACATGCTATACAGGAGTTGCAGTGGTAGAAAAAAGGTGACATTAGCACCGTGTAATTTTTTATGTTTATTTTTAACTTTAGCATGTTGATATCCTTCTATTTATACCTGTTCTTAATTATCACCACTATCCAACCGTAGTTACTCTGTTGACCACCAACAGGGTAGGGTGAGATATTATGTAAGGCGATCAGTATCAATCAACCCACAATCGCTATCTAAAGTCCTCATTTCACACCTAGCAAACGACTAAAACCATCTAACAGAATACGAGTTAGAATTTATGTCGACATTCCCTCACATCTCGCAAAAATGAAGACTATGTAACAGGAATCGAGTTAAATTACCAAGGACCGTAGTAGGGCCCCACACAATGCAGTCCCCAGGTGCGCGCGGTTTGTTAACACCAATCGCCTTCGATATATCGCCTGCATCCAAATCCAATTACCCACTGTTTAGCATCGCTCCTTCTGCACCCCGATGCATATGCAAACGTGGAACGTATCTGTGTATGGTAAGCGGAGCGTGCTGGGTTTATTTAGATATAGCTTTTGCCCGCGGCTTGACCCGCGTGAAATTTAATGTCACAAATCGGCGTAAATTGTAGCCTATATGTTAATCTGGGTTATAAACAATAACACTGTAAAGTTTCATCAAAATTCGTCTAGTAGTTTTTGCGTGAAAGAGTAACAAATATCCACACAAACTTTCGCATTTATAATATTAGTAGAACTAGTAGGATTCAATTGCTCTGTAATACCTATTGTTCTCAATAGAAGAGGATAATGTCTTATAGGGCTTCAAATATAGGTAATCATTATAATATGTTTAGCAACGCTCCGTCTGCACCCCGATGCATAATATATGCAAACGTGCAACGTATCTGCGTACGGTAACCGGAGCGTGCTGGGTTTATTCCGAGAGATTTAGTTACACAGTAATATTATTATTAACAATAGTCTATGTTTCGACAGCCAGTATAAGCAACAGCGTGGTTGGCATCAACACAACGCGACATTTCCATACGATTCGAATAATAAATTGTTTGTCACTTTTGTAAAACTCTTTCGTTTGGCAGTCAGGTAGATCATTTTTCGACGCTGTCTCACATAATCACACTCACAATTACTGTTGTCAAAATTCAATCATTAATATCACAAAAACAAGGATAGCTATTTCACAAATACACTTCCATCACAAAAATAGAATGATGGCCAAGTCCTAGAATTAATAAAATATGTCACCCCACTTTATATGCCTAGGCTCAGCCTAATCAAGCTGCTGAATATTCGAGGAGCGAATATTCGAAGAGGCGAGAGCTTGAAGGGTCACTGAGCACATTATGCCCGCTCAGGCGTTTGAGGGCAAGTGACACAATTTGAATACTTACAACGTGGATGTAAATTTTTCGAGCCTCGTGATCCGAAGTGCAGTGGCCTCTTTAGAATTTTCCCTATATGATCGAATCAGGCAGTGTCTTAAGACAAAAGTCTTTGACCAGTGTGTGTTGACAGTGATGGTATACGGATCTGAGACGTGGTCGCTTACTATGGCCCTCATAAGAAGGCTTAAGGTCACCCAAAAGGCGATGGAGCGTGCTATGCTCGGAGTTTACCTGCGTGATCGAATCAGAAATGAGGCTCTCCTCATTTCTGATTTCTGAGCGGCTCTCCGCTGGAATTCTAAAATAGCCGATATAGCCCGTATAATTTCTGAAGAGTGGCAGTAGGCGGGGCACATAGCTCGTAGTGCTCGCAGCTCTATAGCTGATGGCCGTTGGGGCAGGAAAGTTCTCCACGAGCCGGACGGAAGACGTAGTATAGGCAGCCCTCTCACTAGGTGGACCAACGATCTGGTGGATCTTTGGAGGATTCTTGGCTTTTGTCTAGAAGTGGACAAAATTCTCTTATGATTTCCAGATTTGCAAGGTGGAAGTGGCTGCCACCTTTACTAGATCTTTGACCATAATATGTAATACCTACAAGCTATATGTTTACAATACAACTCTTCAATCCTATTGAAAATACATTTTGAATAAAATGTCTTCTGCATGATTTATAAAACCAGCTTTTATACCTACCTCCTTTCAAATCTCATATTTATTAGGCTCAAAATCCGGAATCAAAGCGCCCAAAATCAAGGAACACAAACAATGACGTCACAGATTACCATAGTGAAGGAGTAAGTAGGGTCAGCAACAAAGCGCTAATGAATATTCCAGCAGCTATCTCGACGATATGCAAACCAGGTGACTTCACTAAGTTGCCGACCGTACGTCACATCAAGCTTCACTCAGCTGCATCTTATACAGTGGTAATACGAGCGAGTTTGCATCAAAATTGTATAGCCTTATCTGCTGGCTGTACCAGGGTGAATTTTTAAACGGCTCTCATAACGATTGATAGTAATAAAAGGTTTATGAATTCTGTTTCGGGATCAAAGAAAATATGAGTTGAACACTTGAAAGGACGGAGGGCGTTTTGTGAGAGAACGCAACGTTCTGGAGAAAAATGAAAAAAATAAAGCTCCATGAAGCTTTATTTACATAACAGACAGAACTAAACATTTTTTTTTACATTACTTAAGACCTACTTACATTAAGTATAATACCACAGAATAATAATATGATACTACTTACAAAGTATGTGTGCATAGTGTAGTGCAGTAAAACACTAGCATTTCTTAACATTCTTTAATCCAGTGATTTATGTAGTACTGAAAGATACTAATAAACGATTTAAAAGTTATATTTACAAAACCCTAAATAAACATTAAAGTTAAACATAACACATAATTACATAATAGAAAAGTGTAAAAATATTATAAAACTTGAAGATGGTTTAGTCCAATAACAAAAGAAATTCAAAAACTTTTTCAATATCATTTCTTAAATTTTCTATTACAATAGCTTAAATATTGTCTCTAGAAAAATATAAAAGGTCGCAACAGTGCTATTAAATGCCAATCTTTTGTGGAAACTTGCTAAAGAATGTCAGAGAGTTGAAAGTTCACGAACAAAACCCTCGAGACATCTAGACAAGTGTCAAGACTTTCATTGTTAATGAAATGTCTAGAAATATGCGAGGGAATGAGCTACATTTAAATTTTAAATTAAAGAAAGAAAGAAACATTTATTGCCATGGACATCACAAAACACAAAAGAGGTAAATAAAAAAAGGAAACAAGACAGAGGTAACACATAAAACATACAATTGAAGAGAAAGTAAACTTTACAGTGCCACCCTGCCGCACAGCCATGCCCATCGCAATGGGACCCCACTCAGCATATGCCGTGGCCCCCGGTGAGGAAGGCCACGACACTGGTTTTCAGTGTGCCCCATGCCGAGTGGGAGTCACGGACACTAACCTATACTGCATTAAGTCCCTTAACTTATGTTGGTAGCCGACAATCCGACGTGTTTTTAATTATACAATACAAGTAAAAGAAGACAACCAATATCACTACATATTACTTATTACTTTATAAGTGTTAAGTACTATCGGCAACAGTGTTAACTACCCATTACCGATCATGCCGTCTCGTTCTATCGCAAAGAATCACCATGTGATGAGAGCGAGAGCAAAAACTGATGGTAGTTAACACTGTGGCCGATAGTACAATGACAATTATAAATATTGCAGTGAAAGTTAAATTAAATAGTATCTACGTGTAAGTACCTAATTAATCCTATTTGATCTAATTTTACTTAAATAGCGATATTTTTAATGTTCATGTAGTAAAGTGATGAGTACGTATATTAAAGGTAATTTTACACTCCCAAAAGATAAAGACAACTGTAAAAAATTCCACTACGGCTACCTTTATTATGACTTTAATTACTTGCCTTTGAAACTGAATGAAATACAAACTCTTCCAGAAATTAAGTAAGAATCAAACTGAAACAGTTCGCTTCACCCTTTTAGTGCTATTCAAATACGACAGTACATCTACCATGCTCTCAGCACCTTTGGGGTAACACCTTTCCTTCAACGGATCGGTATACCACCAGGTCCTAAACTTATCATAAGAACTGTAAGTTTCTAGGTTCGCCTTAGAATGCAGGAGCTCACAGAGTTGACACAGTCCCTTCCAATATTCGGACTTCTTGATGGTGTAATGGTTCCTCCATCTGTGGTAGTCGTAGTAGATTTCCAGGTTTTTGATGCTGTGGTCTACTGCCGCTGCTATTTTTCGAGGATCACTAACTGAAGCGTCGAGGTACGACCCGTCTGGGAGGAACCTAGAATTGAAAAGCGTTTCAGTCACTCCTCTAGTCATTATCACTTGCATTACAAAATAAATTCTAGTGAAATCAAATACAACAGTTGACTAAGTAGTCATAGGAGTAGAAAGAGCCTAGTTGCAAAGGACTCACACTTCCTATGCTATACATATAATTATGTAATTATTATGTATTAACGCTGTAGTTACAAGACAACAATTCGTAGCTAAAAGTAATTTCATGTAAGGTTTTTTAGTAAGAAGTCGGTAGTTCTACCTTACTTACCTACCATTTACCGTAAATTATATGTAATAAAATTGGGAACACACACACCAAAATACACGGTTTACAAAATAGAACACTGGAAAATAAAATACTCACTGTTTGTAATTAGCGCCACCTTTCACGATCGGCACAGCATTATGATGGTACGCTTTCAGCACCTCCTCAGTTACGTAATCTTCAGCGTTACTATCTTCATAAGCCAAATAGTAATAATAATCTCTTTCCACAAGCTTCATGCAATCGTTCCCGGGACAAGTGAACATCTTACATCCATAAATATCTAGTTCCAAAGAGTGTTCCCGTAAGGCATCGCGCAGTTGCTTGACGAAAACCATCCTGTTGGTCCTTGTGCTGCAACTGTTCATGACCCAAACCACAGCCTTCGTTTTCGTCTTCATCTTTTCCTTCTCAATATCAGAAATTTTGGTCATATCCTTCTTCCATTGGACTTTGACTCTTGGTGCTATTTGATTCCCTTCATAATCTCGCACTTCGATAAATGGGGTCACTATGTCTGAAGACAGTTTGTATGACCACGTCCAATTGAAGTAGTTGTCCGCATTGATGGTACAGATCGGTGTCTCGTCCGAAGACCTCATACCATGGAAGATGTACTTCTGTGTTTGAGATCTTGACCTTGGTAACGTCATTTTCTTCCATTTTCTCAGCAGATTTATATCCATAAACACAGCATCAAAATTCTTGTAATCTCCATTCAGGAGATCTTTTTTCGTTGTCAAGTAACAGTTATAGTAAGGGCAGTCGTATTTGACGAATGGGCCTTGCCCTTCACCTAGCGGATTCTGAAAATACTCCGGAGTTGTCCAAATGAGGATATACTTCAAGTCCGTGTAAAATCTGTCCACTTTTGGGTTCATGTCAGCAATAGGGTAGTTCTGGTTATATTTTTCGAGATCAGCGACGGTCGTGTAGGCCGTATGAAAGGTATAGAATGCTAAAACGGCGTACATAATCAAACCAGTGAAACTTATAAGGAAGAATAATTTCGCGAACGTTTCCGTTTTCATTGCGACGTACATTTTGAGGTTCTGTTGTGCTGGAGGAGACGGAGTGACAGGTTTGAAGACAATGAAATTGTGCAGTCGACTCATTAGCTGTGTAAACAATGGATTCTTTTGATTCTAAATAAACAATACGACAGTCACGAAGCATTTTTCTTCGTCATTTCTTATCTGGAATGGTTGATGCCTTTTTAATATTTTATTTTTTCGTTTGCTGTACAATTTTTAAGAGTAGATATAAGATAATATGATGTTTATTTGGAAGAAAACAAAGGCTATACACAGGTGACAATACATACCTACAATAGCGACATACCTACCTAACATAGGTAATGTCTGTATTTAAAAACTAACATTGCAAATACTTTTTGTTAAAAGCAACCAGATACTCGATTCATTTCATCGAATTTACGGCAATATACTTAAAAGTACCTACCTACTATATTTTTTCTTTTCATCAAGTCCCTATAAACCCCATGTGATTCGTCTAAAAGCGCTTCTTATGCTAAGTACTTCGCGTCTCACTATATCAAATCACTTTTGTGTCGTTTTAGAGATCCGTTCACTCAAAAATAAAATCTATTTATATTGAACCTGAAATTATTTTATGCATTCTTCGGGATGTGTTTAATATTTTAACAGAATCTATTTCAATGTTAGGTACCTCATTAGTAAATCTTGAAGAATGACGAATAATTATATTCACTATCGGTAGAATTAGACCACTTCAAATCCTTATTTAACTACTTAAATTGAAATAAAATATTTATTCCATTTCAGCCAAATTAAAAACGTTGCCCTTATTGATGTCGATTACACGATCGCTTGCTACGTTGCTACTCTTGAGTCCTAAGTAGAGCTTCAAGACGTACCTAATCGACTTCACTAAGGGCAACCTTTTTAATTTGGCTGAAACGGAGTTTCAAAGAATTAAAAATTATATCACTTATTCTAATGTTATCAAAAACTGCTACCCTTTATATCTTAGCGAATGATACAACCAAAATTATAGCCCTCAAAAGTAGTACTCGCCAAAACATCTACTCGTATTTACCTATTTCAACCTACGGAACCTCCTCATTCTACCAGCACACTCCTGTCATTTTTTTTTTGTTTATCCGTCAGCTCCTCGGGGCGTCCTCAAAGGAGACTCGGTCTGTCTGCGCATCCAAAACGCTTTCAAGAAATTTTTCTATCAGTCCATGTCTCCCTCTATTTGCCAAGACCTGTTTCGTTAGATGCTATCACTGTTTCCATTATACTACGGCTTATGGACGGTTTGGAACGATATTTAGTTTTTTTGTTATAGACTTGTGAGAGTGGATCCTTTGTAACAGATTGAAGTCGTAAGCTCTTCGCTAATTTAGGTTTTCACATTTGTTAAATCGCAATCTAGATTATAAATATATAGTTTAACATCTACTCACTCAGTATGAACACTTTTGTCTCAAATATTCTATTGATTTGCTATACATAGATAGACTTAATAAACTATATAAATTAAATAACTAATAAAAATGAAATACCTTTGTATTATTTCATACACAAGATTTACCAGGAAAGAACAATTTTGCCAATGTTGCTAAATCTCGCATGAAAGCAACTTTCTTAACAGAAACTCAAAAAATTAAATTAACGTTAAATTTTATCTTTATTCCGGTTCTTAACTGAACTCGATATTAAATTTTCAACTGTATTGCCTTGATAATCCGTAAAAAAATTACTCTACAATCGTGTTTATAGCATTTGGCAGTGGCCGTGATGATGGAAACGAACCAAACTCTTTGCATGTAGGACGTCGAGTCTTCGGCAAATATGGACATCGCGTATGAAGTCAAACAGAATTACGTATTCCATAAAAATATAGCCCTTTCCGCGCACGTGACAACGAAGCGCCCGTCTTGACGCATATTTCCAGTTATTTGTAAATAATCGTGGACAACTTTTTTGGTTAGAATTTTCGTAGAAAATGGTCTATTTCCTATTGAGTTTATAATATATCGTTCGTTCGTTTTAGCCGAATGACGTCCGTGCTGGACAAAGACCTCCATTATTACCATTATCTAACAAATAAGTAGCTGATTGCCAGTCTTTCACGACTATAATTTATATGACAGATTTTCTAACAGTGACTTTATTAGCAAGTGGTGAAACTGCCAGCTATCCAAAGGATCGCTGAAATTTGTATGATCCTTAAGTGTAAAATATGTAAAGGCTGATATGCTATTGACTACTGCTATGTCTCTACATAGTTGGATGTCACAGCTGACGTAATAGACTGCCAGCTATCCGAAGGATCGCTGAAATTTGCGACCGCAGCCGGCATCCGGGTCGGCGCCTGTGGCATCCGTCTGCTTCGATGCTCACCTAATATACCCTGTGTTTATCTTTTCAATTTTAGCTTATGAAAGAGCAGAGCAGCATATTTGTGAGAATAATAAGTATTTGAAAGCTTCAATAGGTTGAGCTTAGTTGTATTTCGGCAGATGTAAGATGGCCAGTTTTTCTGTGGTAGAGCTTTTTAAGTAAAGCTCGCTTCCACCTTCGGCTTAATAATCACTTTCCATCAGAACAGCAAGGTGACATTTTAATGTAGTTGATTTAGGTGCACATAAGCATGCTGTCCACTGCAAATATTTTATACATAAATCGTTTCCGTGTAAACTTATAGATATTTGTGAATCAGTATCCTCATCAAGTAGTAAAAAAAACCTTTAATATTTCCCCAATCTGTGAAATTCAAAAATCCGAGATTAGACAGACAGACAGCCACTTTCGCAAATTGTAGTTTATAGATAGTTACCTTACCGATTAATTCCACGAATACCGGCTGCCTGCGGTCGTCTCTACCAATGTTGGTACTTGCTAAACACACATAGTTGGTGGATCATTACATAGGTTGTGATGTTAAATCGACAGTTAGGCTGAGTTGCACCACCTAACTTTAACGGTAACTATTACGATAACCGGTGTTTTTTGTATGCAGTTTGACAGATTTTTGAGTTTTGTCACAGTTACAGTGTTTAAGATGTAATTTAAGTAATTTAAGATAACTTTGACCGTAACTATTACGATAACCGGTGTTTTTTGTATGGAGTTTGACAGATTTTTGACGTTTGTCAAAGTTAAAGTGAGATGGTGCAACCCAGCCTTAGACTATTGACAGGCAGGTTTGTTGCAAAGTAGCTCCTATTGGGACTAAATAAGATATTAGCTTGAGCTTAATGTGCTTTCGGTATACAATATTCCAAGAACACAGTTCTCACGTTTATCTATTGCATCAATATGCTTTTTATTTTCACGTGCATCGCATAGTATAGAAAGTTAGTAGAATTTACAATGGCATGTTGTATAGTTGTATTTGGTATGTTGAAGAAGAGTTTATTAATCAAACAGTCATCATCATCTCAGCCGTAGGACGTCCACTGCTGAACATAGGCCCACCCAACCCAATGCTTTCCATGTTGCCCGGTAGGTAGCGGCCTGCGTCTAGCGCCTTCCAGCTACCTTTACGATGTCGTCGGTCTACCTTGTGGGTGAATCAAATAGTTGATTTTACTTATTTAACTATTATGAATAAAAACCCGATGGATGATCTTCATGAGATTTTGTTTGTCTCGTTGTCAAGTTGAACTGAAAAATAAATCTAAAAAAATACAAGTTACTTATTATAACTTTTTTATAATGTTCAGTCAATCAAGGGTGATTTGAACTCTTTTTTATCAAAAACATATTAATGTGAGTATAGTACTGTCACACTTCAATTAAAAGGCTCGGATTTAAAATAATTGTCAGTCCTGTCGAAGCTACAGATTTAATTTCCGATAAGAATGTGCGAATGTTTTCAATTATGGCGATTCTTTCGCATCAGTGGCTTCACAATTTCACATACAGGGTGTCTAAAATACCTTAGGGTTCCGTACGCAAAAGGTAAAAATTGAATACTATGTATTAATAAGACTTCGCTGTCTGTCCAGGTCCAGGCTATCTCATAAACCCTGATGTCTAAACATTGCGCACCCTTTTGAGGGATACCTAGCGAACTCGAGTCGGTGTCTCCTCGAAAGGATGCGCGATGCTAAAAGAAAGGGCATCCGCGAAAGACCAGCTTCAGCCATCAAGATAAAATGCTGAACGTTGAGCCTATTTATTGGCGCAGAGGCTCAGTAATTGCGTTATATTTATTTTTTTATTTTTGTTGTGTTGTTGTTGTTTATTATATACCAACTTTCCACCCGCGGCTTCGCCCGCGTTGAATTTTGTCTGTCATAAAAAAAAATTATCGCACGCGTCTCTGTTTCAAATACCGGGATAAAAACTATCGTATGTCCTTTCCCGGGACTCAAACTATCTCTTCGCCAAATTTCATCAACATCGATTCAGTGGTTTAGGCGTGAAAGCAAGACAGACAGACAGACTTTCGCATTTATAATATTAGTATAGATATTAGTAAGTATAGAAGTAAAGATTAATTATTGTGTCGATAAAATTGTTTCTATTTTATTATACCTACCTACATCGCGCGATACGGCGGAATATTGTGGTGCGGTTCCGCAACGCATCGTGTGCTTTGGCTCTTAAGTAGTTAAGTTTAACCCTGGAAAGCCACAGTATGTCCGCCATATCCGCACAGGGCACGCAAAGGGTTAAGATAGCCCTCATTGAGAGCATTAACATCTCAAGTGCCGCGGTGATCAAGCGGTTCATTAGAGCGGTATGCAGCTCATTAGTGGTACATTAGGGTTAGGACACACTTGAGACACTAATTATATTAATATTATTAACAAGCATAACATTAAATCTATTTTTTTTCTTAAGCTTGATTGCACAAAGCGCTACGCTAACCCAGAGCTATCCTTACCCAAGGATGGTAATGTTAAAATTGATAGATTTCAGAGAGGAAGAAAATATTATAAGTGTATTTAAATCAGAGAATTTCAAAAAGTTTTGTGTCCCGGAATGAGTGATTTTTTATTTCCTGATGATAATGATAAAGCATCCAATATATTAGATCGGACTTTTGTATTAGAAGAATTGCAAGGTTCGATCATTCCAACTCGCTATAAGACATTTTATGGAAAATTTCATCAATGGAAATGTTTTTCTAAATATCGATTTTGAGATGTTTTCACGTTGTATTTCATAAAATTGCGAATAAATAAGTAAACTGAAACTTAATTTAGCTCACGGCGCTGAAATTATTGTATAATAAATTATAGTAGACACCAACCAATAATTCCAAGACACAACTTTTAAAATAAATCTAGACATCTAGACACTTAAATTGAGTTAACTTTGGTAATATTTTCGAGTAGCGCATTCAGCCAAAAGTAAGATTAATCTTCTTCTTCTTTTTCTTCTTCTTATCAGAAGAAGAAGCAATAGTAATAATGATTTGTATTAGCATCATACTAATGATCCCACTAGTGTGAACCCACCCTTGCCTTAAGCGATTTGCTCCTAATAGTTACTTGTGTAATTGTGCCGCGGACACACATCTGTGGGTATGTGGATATGATTTGTGGTTAGTACAACCACAGCACAGGCAAAATAGCATTTAATACAAGTACTTAAGACGCTAGTGTTTAGGTTGATATGCCGCTAATGCTCTTCATATTAATCTTACTTATTGCAGATCTTTGCAATGGTATTTAGAGGGGAAAATTGATTTAGGAAAAGTATACTTTCCATACAAATTAAAGCCTTGCCACACTGACGGATTACAAGCGTTTTCAAAGCGGAGCCGCTTTGAAAACGCTTGCAATCCGCCAGTGTGGCAACGCCCATAATATCGACACAAAACTTATTTTTAAATTAGAGGTCTGGGTTCGATTCCCAATGGGGGGCATTTTCTGCACGTTTTGGTTGGTTTTCTATATGTCCGCCTAACTATCGCCACAATGTGTCACGGCAGAACAACTTAGGCACTACACAACATTTCATCATCAATTCTGACATTCACACTCGAATAAAACTAATTTCTCTTTGTAAGTTACTATTCGTTGGAAACTTCTCGTGGTTTCGATCAAAATATGTTTGAAATATAACGCACAACTTCAAATGTACGAAATTTTTGGTGAATAGTTCGGGTGAAGTTGAACTTCTATCGGTTTGAATGAAAAATGCGCTTTGAAAATTATTGAAATACTTTATTAGACCAGCCGCGGCAAGAGAGGTGAAACTTTTGGTTCTGTTTAAACCACTTTGATGTAGTTTTCGGTAGAATATGTTATAAGTTTAAACCAGCCCAATTTTATCAAATAAATAGGTATTATAAATGGAAAATTTACTACTATATCCGTCAGTCTATTACCTTTTCACGCTAAAACAATTTAGAGAAATTAGGTATGGAGAATTTAAGTCAAAGGAAAAACGAAGGATAGTTTTTTTACGGTTTTTGAAACGGTTAATTACGCGTGCAATAAATTCTTTATACCTACTTACTTAGTGATCGAAATTAACGCAGGCAAAGCCGCTGGCAAAAGCTAGTCAAATGAAAAATAATCCATGTTTTTAGAAAGTTTCTCTTTGGGTAGTATTGGACGAGAGTGGCAGACAATTTTTTACTAATTCTATCGTAAAACTAGTTAGTAAAACAACTAGAACTAAGGGTTATTATTACAACAATCGAGTATAGAAAAAGAAAAACCTAATAAACACCATTAATAATAAGTCCACAATAGGCCAAGTGACAAAACAGCAAAGTCCCAAACTGCTGTATAATGAGCTGCGCACCTGAGCAGCCGAGGAATGAGGTAAAATCGAAGTTCCGCGCAAGTTTAAAAAGTCTAATTTTCCTTCATACGCGACTTGAGTACAGGAGCCGACGGCCTCCGTCGGGATGCTAAAGCATAATGTTGATATACCTACTACAGAATAATGCTAAGTGGTTTCAGTAGGTTAAAATAGGACCCTAGTCTTCCAGTGCGTATCGTAAGAGGCGACTAAGACATGACGTGTGATGCTGACAGAGTAGAATAGGACCCCACTCTTCCCGTGGATGTTGTAAGAGGCGACTAAGAGAGAATTAAGCAAACATCAGGCCTTCTCAAACCATCCTGCTAGCGTGAGGAGTGAAGAACAAATCCTGCATTTGGCCTCTAGTAAATTAGAGGGTCATGATCTTGTAGTAGAGACTAATAATTGTTGTTGATGATGATAATGATGATGATAACGATAAAGTTATCCAGTTAAGTTATGGACGATAGATAAGCATTCAACCATAACAGAGAAGATCTCATAGATATGTAATGATCTGGCTGAAGGGGTAAGCGAGCTTACCCAGAACTGGCTATCTTACCTCAAGTACCGAAATACAACAATGTTTTATGACGACAGATTTCTTAGGTAAGATGGTAGCAGAAAAAGTCCTTATAACCTAACCAACCAAAAAATTTTGCCCTTACAAAGAATCGAACCAGGGACCTCTAGATCTGAAACAAGTATTTTATATCTTATCAATAAATAGACCACAGAGGCAGATAACGTACTAGGCCAATGGGAATACCATGGGAAAAGAAACCAAAGGAATGTCCTCAATCACCTCACGTTCTGAACTCACAACATCAGACTAGGCTATAATAAGGCAAAGTTGGCGATCTTACTAGTAAAATTTTCTCTCAATCATAACTTTTCGAGAAAAAGAAAATATTATGTAGATTTCCTGGAACTATTTCTGTGAGCTGTGTTCGTTCGCGCTAAGTTATGCTAATGCAATATAATCTAATATTTCATATGAAACTTTTTAATTCGAAAATTAAATAGATTCATTATTTATTTGGGTTATGTGATAGTAAAATATTTCCAATTAAAATGAATACAAAAGTTAAGTCAATACTCGTAGCATCTTGCGTAGTTTACATTAATTATACTAAAACGATTACCGCGATGATTTAAGGTCGTTTAGCATCTGGATACCTAAGAAATAAAAAAAAAAACAATAAACTATAATTTTATGTATTACCTACTTTTACATGATAGAAACTATCTATCTAAATTCTTATTTTATTAAGGATCTTAAAGAAAGTCCCGTTCTTAGCAATATCAATCAGCTATGGCGGTTCATAAAATCAACCAACGAGTTCTTACTTACATAAAAGACAAAAACAAACAACAGAACCCTCAGTCTGGTGAATCAGTCGTCAAAAGATGCACCCCACTTAAGGCTTGTAAACTCGAAGTTACAAAAATACGGCGTTAAGGAAGGTGGCTCGTCGCGCCATAAATCGCGGGCATCTTCGCGCCGCGCCAATTAGTGCAAGATGGCGCCCGGGACCGCAGCATGCGAGATGTGAGCAGAAACACATTGAATTTCATTTGTTTCACCTGTCTTCAACGTCATCATCATGCAGGACATGCCTAGAGTGCCCTTATGAGACCTACTATGGGCATGTGCTTCGATAAAACATCAAGTAAACATTAAAATACTGAGCAGTAAAAACTAACTAAACGATTGTAAGTGTAAAATTACGTCTTTAAAATTAAAGTTAGTTTGTTTGTTAAGAAAAGGTACCGTGATCCTTAAATGCGCTGGGTCAGTAATTAATGACAGTAAAGTTCTCACAATATTTGTAAGTTCAACATTACCACAATAGTCATATTATACGGGAGCAAAATTAGAATCTTCTCGAAATTCTCGGATGCAGTCACGCAAACATTCCAATTTTAAACAACCTCAGAAAACATTCCAATTTTAAACAACCATACAATTTACATTTATTTTACTGATCTTTTTAAGGATATACATCTTTAGTAGTTTTTTCAATCCGTTTGGTTCCTCAGTGGCATAACGCCATTCCTAGTGCGATGCCGCGAGTCTCCACTTTTTAACGAATGCTGTGAAAGCGTTAATTACTTTTGCAGTAATTAATATGATTTAAAGATCTGTTCAAAAATAAAAGACCTTTGAGTTTTATCGTTTGTGAATTTTTATTCGAGTTGAGTGACAGTGCTTCGACAAATGAGATTCAATTTCGACATTTCAACATAAAATTTCGTAGGCAAAAAAATAAGTTCATTCGTGGAGCTTAAGAACATTGAAATGTGAAACATATTAATGTTTTAAATACATAATTTAAACAATTGCCCATTAATTATAGCTTAAAATAGAATCCACCGCCATAAACAGTCAATAATTATTATTAGTCTTGTCGGAGATCATGATCATGGCGTAACCATAATATACAATACTTTTCCATATGCCTGGGAATCCATCTCAGAACTTTTGATTCAATAGAGAGAGAATGAGAGAGCTATTCAACTACCTACTGAACCACAGTGGCTTCAAAATAACTTAATTGCACTTAACCTGCACCTTAATCCTACTTTCTACTAATATTATAAATGCGAAAGTTTGGATGTCTGGATGGATGTTTGTTACTCTTTTACACAAAAACTACTGAACGGATTTTGATGAAACTTTACAGTATTATTCTTTATAACCCAGAATAACATATAGGCTATAATTCATGACGATCTGTGAAAAACTAAATTTTACGCAGGTGAAGCCGCGGGCAAAAGCTAGTACCAAGTAATGTAACAAAAAATATATTTTTCAAGATTTTTCATTGAGTTACACAAAATTCAAAGGCTCATAATATTAAAGTCCGTTGTTTGGCGCAGGTCAACAAGTAACTTCACTTTGGAACAGCGCATCGGCGAAATGCAATATCGGCGTTCTGTTCTGTAGGTACCATGTTACAGTTTTAAAGTAGTCGACGTACATACGTGGGTACCTACTGCATATCAGACTTTACATTTTTGTTGCAAAACCGGCCTTATTGCAATTATTTAAGGCTACTATCTGCTAAAAGTACATGGCCACTATTTATCTACTCCAAGATTCTTTTTTATAATGGCAGTTCTTTTGAAGGCGAGAAGGCAGGACTGGGCAGGGTTACCATCTAGACTGCATCTCATTTAACATCAGATGCGATTGCGGTCATATACCTGCCTTGTTCTGCATAAAAAAGGCCCTGCATTGCAAAAAAACATTGTAAAAACAAAACTCTCCAAATCCAATTCAAACTTATCTTGAGCGATGATTTAAAATTGAGTATCATCATCATTAACACAGCTAAATAATACATTGAATTAATATTAAATTAAGGGACTTTGCTCTAAGCTACAACAAAATTACATCGCTGCTACCAAAATGATAAAACATGAACGGCTGGTATCCGATAATGTCAGCATAGTTCGATAGCAACTATTCAGTAATTGATTTAGTGCACGACGCGAGCTGCGATAGACGTATATTTTTAACTAGCTGTGCCCGCGACTTCGTACGCGTGAAAATAGTTTGAATATTTCCCGGTTTTGCAACCTTTTCCTTTACTGCTCCGCCCCTGTTGGCTGTATGGCGATGTTATAACAGCCTAAAGCCTTCCTCAATAAATGGGCTATCCAACACAAAAATATCTTTGCTTAGTTTGGGACTAGAAGCGCAGTGTAAAATTTCCAAGGATATTTATTTTATTTATTTATCTTTTCAATCGTACGAGTAGTTCCTGAGATGAGCGCGATCAAGCAAATAAAAAAGTTTTTTTAAAAGTTGACCTTCAATGTTTTCAGTTCAAGAGTTGCGACTACCGTCAAATCGCTTAACATGCGATGGCTCCATAAGTTGACCTCCTTCAATGTTTTCAGTTCACGAGTGGCGACTACCGTCAAAATCGCTTAACATGCGATGGCTCCATAACTATTAGTAATTGAATTATTGCACATAACAAGTTGTGATACGTTTTGATTGGTTTGTTCCACGCTTGGTAATGGAAGTGAAGGATGCAGCCGTGATGTGGAAATTCGATTTGGGCCATCCTTTCTATGGCCAACAGAAACTGGCAACTTTTTTGCGTTTAGGCTGAGTTGCACCACCTAACTTTAAACGTAACTATAACGATAACCGGTTTTTTTATGGAGTTTGACAGATTTTTGACATGTGTTATAGTTAAAGTGAGATGGAAATCATTGGGAAGGCCTATCTTCAGCAGTCGACGTCCTTGACTGAAATGACGATGATGAATATTCAGCAGGATTCTGCAGATTCTGTAGATTATTAAAAAGTTTTTATTAGGCTTTTTTGAGTAACTAAATTACATTTATTGCAGGTAAATTATTTGAGATGTGCAATTATCACTACTCAAATACAAACAAGGTATAGTTACTACAAAGCATATCCCACAGACTATTATCTTTAGAAATGGATTTTGAAACTCCAGAATGGAATTCCAGGCATTCCACTGTCGCAGCGTGCGTGCGTGTGTATGCTACTGCGCATTGTTGAAGCTAAGTTATGGCCACGCATGCATTATGCTCATGTTATGCATTCAAATTATAGTATAGCTTTTGTCCGTGACTTTGCTCGGAATTCTGTCTGTCCCAGAATGACAAAGTGATGAGCCGGGATAAAAACTATCCTTTAATTTTCTCTAGATCTGAGTGAGTGAATGAAGGCTACTGACAACGCCACTTTTGTAGCGGAGTTTTGGGCTGACACTGTGTATGTTTATTGTAGACACGACAAGAAGAATAAGGTGAGTATAGACTAGATTATATATAATGTAACGTTCTTAGGGATGGTATATGGAATATCGAACCTTTCACTAGGGTGAACACTAGAACATTTTATAAAGCAGCTCATTGTTCTGTTACAAGTAGATGCTCCAGTCTATACTCACCCTTGATATCAAATAAAATTTAAAAAAAAAATCATCAAACGTTCAGTAGTTTTTACTTGAAAGAGTAACAAACACGCATCCTGCAACCCCTGACAAACTTAAGAATTTTTAATATTACTAGGAGTACTAGGAGTAGGCAGGAACCTGTGTTAGTTATAACATAACTATATAACTAGATATTCGATATTATCTCAAAGCCCCTGTTGAATGAATCTCTCGTCAATAATAACAATGTTAGTATCATAAAAGTTTAACAAACAATGTATCAACGTTAGTTTTAATATTGTAATCAAGTTATTAACATCGAGTTAGTTCGTAAAGCAACATGCACTATGCAGCGAAATCAATTTACTGCGCCGCACTGAATAGTTGGAGTGCCAAACTATGTGAGTATCAGGGATGTCATGGATATCCGTAACCGAAACTTTCGGATATCTGAAATAAAAATATCCGTAACCGTAACCGAAACCGGTATAATATTATTCCAATATCCGTAACCGTATCCATAACCGAAACTACATATCCATAATATCCTTATGAGTATAAAGGCCACGATACTCATGCCAGAAAAATGGAAAAGTAGCTTGCATGCATGTTAACAGCATGTCCAAGTAATTAAAACTATTAAAATTATTTATTTTTTGCAAGTAGGCCTTTAAAAACAAAACCCTCTTTCTTACGTAGTAGGTTAAAAAGCGCTTGTACTCGTCTTGGTGTTACTTTATTCCTACCACTGCTTCAGGACAATAAATGGGCTGAGAAGAAGCAGCGCAAGAAACTCACGCCCGTATTCACAAACATTACTATGAGGTCTCGCAGTGTGCGTCTACGCACAGGGTCACACACGAACCAATCACAGAGCTCTATTCAACGCTGTGCCTTCGATTTGCTGCTTCACTTAAGCAAGCATCGTTTTTGAGTCTCTAATTGGCCCAATGTGGATCTATTTCCAACTAAAAAGCTGAAAATGAGTGTTGTGCGATATACTCGCTTGTCAGATACAGGCATGCGTTAGCATATGCTTACAATAAAAACTACATACAGCCGAACATCTAACCTCCTCCTTTTTTGAAGTTGGTTAAAAATCAACTTAGAAGGAACTGGCATGCAAGTGTACCAGTTACTGACATATGTATCGACGCCTTTAGGTAGGTCGTACCATAATAAGTACCTATGTTATGGTTTGTGAAAAAGGCTAGGTATTGCTAATTTTCATAGAAGCAAATTAGGTACTAGAACAAAAACATATTTTTACTCGGTAATGAACTAATGAAGTTTTCTAATCATTTATCTAGTTTTTCCGCCAAAACCTGTGAAAGATGAACTTGATCAACTTTTCTGCTAAAATTCCAGTTATTTTTTTCAATACTAAGGGGTACTAAATACCTACTTAGAAAGTTAGAAAGGAGCTAACCATAACATAGCTCTTTTGACCCACTAGAAAAAAAAACCTACTTGTAAATTAACTTTCTCACCTACAGCCCTATAAAAAAACCATAAAGAACCTCGTTAAAACCTGCAAATACCGTATTACGTATGCCACCGGCGAGGTGCCCGCCATTTTTCTTCAAAAACATAAATTCCTCTTACAAGTTTGAGTGATCTTCCGCGG